GCCCTCCCGGCCCGGGGCCCCGCGCGGGAGCCGCGCTTCCAGCCTTACTGCGGGGGAGGTGGCCTCGCTCAGCCCCCTGCCCGCGTCCCGGTCCGCGCGTCGGCGCGTTCAGTTTGCGGACTGGCGCGCTGTCCCGAGGTGCCCCAGCTCACGCGCACACGCGTGTTTCAATGTGGGGCGCGGCCCGGGGGCTGGAGAGCCGGGGAGGTTTCTCCAGCCCCACGGCAGGCTCAGGCCTCTGCTGAAAGCGCCCTTTCGACGGTGCCCTCGGTGAAGGCCAAAATGGCTCTCGGCGACGTTGCGGATGAGCCCAGCCTCGGCAACTTAGCTAGCAGGAGGCAGACCCAGCAAAAAAGAAAAAAAAAAAGGGGGAGGGTGTAGCCAGGAGTTTAGACTCTGAATTTAAATTGCAGTACCCACCCCCCCCAAAAAAAAACAGACAAAAAAACAACAACAACAAAAAACCCAAACCAATGAAAGGGTCCATACTGCCTCACTAGAGAACATGAAACCTTGACCGCCCCAGAAAGCGCGGCCAGCCTGTGTTTGCTTTTTCTCGAGCGTCTCACAGGTCTTCCTGGGGGGATATGAGAGGCCGCTTTTGTGCTGAGTGCAGTTTGTTCCTCCTCAGAAGACTCTACCTCACGTATCTGTCTACTTGAGAGCAAGTTTTCTGAAAAGGAATTATTTACCACTCTGGAGTGGCCCGGCTTAACAGGTTCTCTTAATTTTTTCAAGATGGGGGAACCTATTAAAACTCAAAAGTAGTAGGTTATGGTGCAGGATTAGGCAAAGCTGCACTAAATGGAATTCTGAGTAAAATAGCTAATTATCTAGTAGTACATTAATAATTGTGCTTTCCTACCCTTGAGAGTGTGGAGCTCCAGCAGGGCCTTTTGTGCGCCCTTGCCAGAAGAGCAGCTTGCTCAGTTTCTCCTGATAGAGCTGCTTAAATCTCAGACTCCTGGGGAAGCTGGAGGCCCAAGATTGCCCCGTGAGAGTGTAGGCCCATGCAGCTGCTGCTGATTGTCAACCCTGCTCCTGGTGATAAGAGTGACATAAATAACAACTCACTAAAATACAGGAGTGATTTGCTTTGAGCACTTCAGCACCTGCTGTTACTAATTAAGGGTTTTAGCCTGCCACAGATTGCAAATGGAAATCCAGTGTTCTAAAAATTATAGCTACTGGAGTGCCCAGCATGTTCCTGTGACCACAGAAATAAAGTGGAGAGGATAAAGAACATTAGTGATGATGTCATATTATAAAAGCTGTCCATACTCAGTGTGGATACCAAGGTGTTAATAGGGCATACTCAGTGGTGGCATTACAGATGCTTTTTATTTTCACTCTAGTTTCTTTTGAACGCTCCAGTATTTCCCAGTGTATTGCTTTATTTTTAAGTGCAGTAAGGAATTTAAATAGAAAAATACGTTGTCAAATGAAGTCTAGCATCGCTTCAAATTCTGGTGCTTATAGGTGAAAATTTTAAGTGTACTGAAAGGCAGTTTTGCAAAAGCAGAATATATTAGAAACTATTCATTTTCCTTTTGTTAGTAAATGCCTTCTCATCACCTGTGTTCATATATTATACCAACAACAAGCTATTTTAACTGAATAAGTATGAAGATTTATGTTGATTATGAGCTATTCACTTGTGTTCTTGAGTTACTGAGTAGTGGACTTGAACTGTGTTGAATTTCTCTTATTATGAACATTCTGAGCATGCCATAAAGAAGTGGTAAGAGAGCTAATCAGATCTTTCTAGAACTTTTTTGTTTCCTGCAGCCTCTGAGCCATGATTCAGGGCACCGTGCAAACTTGAGACTCCTGCAAGAGTATGGGTTAGTGGTGCCTGTTCTTTTGCATCTTTTCCGATTTCCAACTTCCACTCAGGTTTCTCCTCACTCCACAGTATCCATGTTCTTCCTTTTTGGCTTTCTTCACTCTTCTTGACAAGACTGTGAGATTCTGGGAGAACATTAGGGTCTGAGCTTGGGAGGGGAATGTTGCAATCAACACCAGGTGCTTACTTGTTAAAAGGCTTGAGTTAGGCAGCTGATTTCTGTTATTTGAAGCTCCCCTTTTGCTTTTCAGTAGACCCGTTTGCCAAGCTCTGTGGCTCAAATGGTGCAGAGAACAGTTCCATTCAGAGCTGCGTTCATTGCCCAGCGGGGACACATTTCCTCCTCAAGTTGCACCCTGTCTTCTCTCTCCCTGTCAGGTTGTATTGACATTTTTGGTGTTCTTTGTGTTCAAGTGTGGTATCACTTGAGAAAATATGGCAATAACTACCACCCACAGGACATACACAAATATTTATCCTTAAAACTATGACAATATAAGTATAATCCTTCAGACCAGGATCACATAGTATGTGATTCAAAGTCACCGAGTGAGTGGCTGAACTAAAGGCTGACTCTGATCCTTACCTAAAAATCCTTTGTTCCCTTTCAGTTGCATCAAGCTGTTGAAAAAAGATCAGTAACAGCTTTGATAGAACAGAAGCTGGCACACTCTTCTGTGTTCCAGACATGAAAAACCGTGCTAGCTTAGCCACAAAAAGAAGGCTGCTGGACTGTAAGCCCCATGAGGTCAGGGAGCTTGTCTACCTTGTGTTCCTAGAACCCAGAACTGTCTGCCCAGTAGGAGGGGAGCAGTAAATATCTATGGGGAAAAAATGTTAAGTATATTTAAACAGACTCCCAGAGTGCCAGAATGTTTTAAAAGAAAAAATAAAGCTTTCTAATAGAAAGTTTTTTTACAAATGGAAAGTTTATTCATAACACATGTCATTTAAATGTAATTATTTGTAGTACCCGCATTCATTCTCAAAAGGCCTCAGTAAAAGATAAAATTTATATAGCTGCTCTATCTGTATCGGATATTTTTGTGCATTCATAGGTGGCTTCAATTAACCAGGTTAATTAAAAAATAAAACTTCAATCACTCATTATGATCACTCGATGATTGTTTCAGTACTTCTCATTGGAGTTACAATACAGTACACTAGCATAAAATAAATCAAGAGCCACAGTGGTGTTTCACAATCTGTACTCACAAAGTGCTCCTGAAGTTCTACTGGAAATGAGGACTGTTTATAAAATGAAAAGCTGAAGCACATGTAGAAGAAGGGCCCTGACACTCCACTGTAGAAATTCCAAGTTTCAGAGCTCATTTGAAAGTCTTATATTCTCTTCTGAAAATGCAGGGGATTTGAGAGATGTAGAAGGAAATAAGCTTGGTGAGGTAGGTTGATTTCAAGCAATGAAAGGCTACACTAAAGAGTTTACATTTTTATCCTCTCTGGGGTGGGCCAGGGAAGATTGGCTCACAGTGAATTGAGAAAACAGATAAACCTCTCGGTGCACTCCAGACTCCATGACAGAAGATAATTTTGACACATGATAATGCTTTTGGCAAGTAAATATCATAGAAAAAAAAGGGTGGGACTTAGTATTCTAAATTAAGAATCCAAAGAGGCATAACACCCAAACCAATGCTTAATTCTTAAGGAGATCTTGGTTCAGATAAAACGGCTTCTCTCCAAACAAAAAAACTCCCCCAGAACAAAATAAAACACAAGTAAATTTAAGAAGCAGATGGGATCAAATTTCCACTATAACCAAAGTAGGAAAGCTACAGCCTATAGACACAAAGAGAAGACATGCAGGGTAGGGCTAGCTCTGTGTTGTAGCACCTGCCTAAGAGGGGTGAGGCCCTGAGTCTGTTTTTGTTTTGTCTTGTTTTTTTGAGGCAGGGTCTCACTATGTAGTTCAGGCTGGGCCGAGCTCACTATATAGCCCTAGCTGGCTTTGCACTTGCCTGTTTATCTTCCTGCCTCAGGCTCCCAAGTGCTGACCCTGCAGGGATGTACCACCATGCCTGGCGAAGTCCTGAGTTTGATTCCTGGTATTAGGGGGAAAAAAAAAAAGGAGAGAAAGAAAAAAATAGACTTAAAAAAAGGTCTTTAAAAAAAAAAGAAATGCGGATGTAAAACAGTTTTAGTGATGGTCTAGGCTCAATGTTAACAGAAATAAAGTGGGCAGTGTGTGTGTGGACTGAATTACTTGGATGGAGACTACCTGGGCCAGGTGGGCCCCTGGATTTCTTTACTCTAGGGACCTTCCTGGTTGATTTCTGCTGCAGCAAGAGCAGTGGTAATTTTAACTCCAGGATCCAACCCAAGAGCTACTCTTTAAAGAAAATGAATTATAAGTAGACGAGGATTCCTGGTGTGGGTAATTCTAGATTTCTGTCATTGACAAGGAGGACAAAAGGAAAGCAGCTTTGGCCAGGGAGGAAATAAATCATAGTGCTTGGTTTTTCACAATGGAGGAGGCCTGCCTTTATTTTGACAGTTAGCTAATCCTAGCCTCTGTGTTCTGCAACCTGTGTTTCCACTTTTCTGCCCATTCACGCCAAATCTAACCTGGTTGTCCCATTAAAGGGAGTGGCCACTGGCAAAATAACCCACTCAGCTGAAGGGAAACTGCTTACGCACATGCAGTCAGTCCAAGGCTTGCCAGACATCAGAGTTATAACAAATGTAGAGATAGAACAGTTGTACTAGAAATAGATTATTAAGGTACTATAGACTGAATGTGTTCCCTCCACATTCATATGTTGTAATCCTAACCCCCAGGGTGATGTAGTATTAGGAGGTCAGACCATTGAAATATGATTAGGTCATGAAGGCTCTGCCATCATGAAGAGAATTAGTGCCCTTATAAAAGAGGCCTAACAGAGACCCCTTAGCCCTTCCAACATGTGAGAACAGTGAAATTGCCATCTATGAACCAGAAATCATGTCCTTACTAGACGCTGAATCTGCCATTGCCTTTATAATGGACTGCCTACTCTTCAGAATTATCAGCCTGAATGGGCTAGAAGGTAAGGGAACAGAAATAAACTAAAAATTCTAATTCATACCCTTGGAGAAGATGTCACATCCTAAAAAAAAAGCAGGTGATTAAAAAATTACAAAAGAGAAAAGGAAAAATTTTAAAAGTTATCAAGGCATATTAAATTGTAAAAATCTTGAGAAGTATTGAAGGCTGAGCTAGTGAGCTGGAATATAAAGGTAAGGTATCTAATTTCTCAGTAAGAAGTTGAAATATGAAGGATTAACTTAAGAATTCCAATATCTGGTAGAAGATTTCAAGGAAGAAAAGAACATTGAGGAGGAAATACCAAAGAAATATTGGACAGGTGTTTCCAGAGCCAAAGGATGAACAAAAGCCATACTCAGATACATCTTACGTAGAGAACTATCAGAACCCAGGGAATAAAGAGGAAATAAACCACCTAAAGAGAAACAAAGCAGTGTAATTTTCTTTGTAACTCAGGCTGTCAGAAGAGTAGGTATTTCCCCCCCACAAAAAATCCAGTCTCAGTCTAATAACTAGAAACCATCAGACATATCCCAAGTTGTGGAATGTTTATAGAATAGCTGACCAGTACTATTCAAGAGTCAGAAAAAGCAAGGGAAACCTGAGGAACTTTACAGATTGGAGGAGACTAGGAGACAGTGAAGACTAACCATAGTGTTATCGTAGATGGGCTCTTGCGAAAGAAAAAGGACGTTAGTGGGAGTCTGTAGTTACTCTCCTATGTTAAGTCCTTGGTTTTTTTTTTTTTTTCATGTAAAAGCCTATTTTTTTTTTTTGTTTTGATAGTAGTATCTTGGTTGTAGAAGATGTTAATAGGAAGTTTGTGAGAATTCATTATACTTTTTCTGCAGCTCTTCTGTAAATCAAAAATTAATTCTAAATAGTACACTAAAGCAACTAACCACTCAAAGAATAGAAATAGGGGTTGTCACTCCCAAAGCATTATAGGTACAATAGGATGGGGGAAAAAAAAGAAAAATAGTAAGTAGGAAACCTGAATAACAATTGAAAGGAATAAGACTATTTCATATTGGGTTGCCAGTGTTTCACAATCGATATTAGCTAATTAGTTACATTATATAAATGGTATTAACTGATCAATTACGTGTTTCTACATCAAAAATGGAAAACTCAGTTTGTGAAAAAGCCCTAAAAACAACTTAGATGCCATTTATAGAAGCCACACAAGGTCAAAATGATATAGAACAGTTCAAAGTAAAGTTGTATGAAAAACAGAGGTGTATAGCAGAAAATGTAAAATTTTATGTAAAGAGCATTAAAAATGACAGTTTTATTCATATATACTTTTCTATTATAATTATCAGGATATGATTCTATTTTACATAGTAACATAGATCATCATACGGGACATAATATAATTACGTATTTATGCAAATATGTATCATTATCAAGAAGCTTTATGTACCTGTCCCATAATTAGAAATAGGGTCTGTAGTTAGAGAAATTGATAAATGGAAAAAACCATGTTTAGGGAAATTTTGACATACCTATCTCATAAACAGAAAGCTCAAGTAGACCTAGTATAAGAAAATACATAATAGATTTGCTTTAAAAGATATATAGAACTGTATGCCCAACAGAAAATGGGTATTATTTTCAAGTACCTTAGCAAAAACTTATAGTTAAACTATGAATAAAATGTCAACAAGTTCTAAAAAATAGACATCATGCAGGGCATTTCATTTGACAGTATATTGAAGTAAGAAATTGTCAGTGAATAGATCACAAAACTAATTTCTAAAATACACTATCCTCAAAGTGGTTTCTCATGAAAGCAGATATAGACATACAAAGCTGACCAACCAAGGACTCATTGACAGTTTCTTTCAGCAAAGAAATACAAAACAGTAGAAAAGCCATGTTAACTATCCTGCATATACATACATACAAACTTTGAAGATATCAGTATGTAATACAATAAGCATTGTTAATTCCCTACCACTCTGTTTGTAACTCTGTACTGTCTGTACTGTTCCTTTGCTATTTTGTAAAATGTTGACTGTCTGTTAATATTTTCCTCCTTTTATTTTTAAAATAAAAAAAATAAAATACACTATCCTTTTGAAAATTAAATGCACCTTTAGGAGTTCAATGTAACTCTTATTAAAAAATAGAAATATAAACAAAATATATTTAGCATTGAATAAATATGAATGCACTATATACTACAACCTGTAAGGTATGTATGACAGTTGGAACATTTAGGTCTACTACTGTGCTGTCCATAACTTTCTACAGTGATGAAAATGATATACAATTGTGCCATGTGGTATGGTAGCCACTTACATGTGGATATTGAGCACTTGAAAGACTAGTGCCACTGAACTGAAGTTCAAGTTTTAATTAACATGTTTAATTAAATTTAAGTGGTTATATGTAGTTATCATGTTGGACCATACAATTCTGTAGTTTCTTGTAAAGCATTCCAGAAAAGATAGAGAACATATTAATTTATTCTTAGCAAGATGAATCAAGTAATAAATATTACATTTAAAAAAAATAATACATTTGAAAATACATATAGATGAAGTGGAGTTTTAAAAATATGCAGGAAAAAAGTTTGTCTAACAAAAGTAGAACACTTAAATTTGCCAATAATTAATAAAGAACTGTAAAAGATCTAAGATCCACCTACATAACTATCTTTGGGACCAAGTTTTATAGACGTGTTTTAAATAACCTTCAAGAAGTAGATAATTTCTATGTCTAATATAATGTTTGACAATATGCAATAATATTGTAGCTGTTTTATTCTCCAAGGCTAGCATATAACCCTGACAGCCAAACCCAATAAGACTATATATTAAAAGAAAATTGTACCCGTTTTCACTTGTGATTATAGATGCAAAAATTTCAGTCATTGAATTAATTCATTACACATTATGAATTGGTTTATCCCAGCATACTAGTGATGGCTTGTCACTAGGAAATCTAGCAATATAATTTACTACCTAACAGATTAAAGGGTAAAAAATAAGAGTGAGGTCGTATGCATACTGAAAAAGCATTTCATAGATTTCCGCCCCCTTTACATAGAAACTTTTAAAATTTGATAAAAGATATTGACCAGAAACCTTTAGTAAGTTTCATATTTAAATATGAAAATGTTCAAAATATTCCCTCTAAATCCATGAACAAAACAAAATGAGCCATTGTTTTAGATGTTCTAGCCAGTGCTTTAAATAAATAAATGGCCAACATTCTGAAAACTGAGATAAAAATGTCACTTTTTGAAGATTATAATTATCTCCCTAGGAAACTGAGGAGTCAACTGAAATATATTGGAACTAGATAGAACCAGGAAGTACTTAAAGCAAAATCTGTGTATAGAGATTACATCTTCTGTGATAAAAGAAAAATGCAATGAGAAGATGTCTCCTTCATAATGACTTCTAAATGTTAAAATATTTGAGAATATGTAAGGATGGATGCAAAGCCTATATGAAAATAACTGTAAAGATCAAGAACATAAAGATCCTACATTCTCTGGGGGGCATACTTTCTGAACAGGGAAATTTAGTACAGCAATAATATTCCCTGATTAACCTTTAAAATAAATGTAAGCATAATCAAAACTTCAGCAGGGTTCCTTGACAAGCTGATGCTAAAATTCTGCTAGAAAAGAAATTGTGGGAAAATATTGAACAGCCAAGCTAAAAAATAACAGAACAAATTTTGTACTCTATCAAGTAACAAAACCCACTATAAATAACTAGTAAGTAAACAGCATGTTATTAACCAAACATTGGCAAGTAGATAAATGGGTTGGGATGAATTAAAAAAAATGTATATATAAAATCACATACAAAGGTGGCATTAAAAAACATTGAGAGAAGTTTAGCTTGTTCAAGAATGCTGTTGCGTCAGTTAGCTCTATACTCGGAAAAGATAAATACCTAGCTTACGTTAGTAACTAAGTCAATTCCAGATGGAATAAAAAACTAGATGCAAAAATAAAGCCATAAAACATTAGGATATATCATAAAAGCATGTTTTAACGTAAGACAGAATGAGTTGCATCTTTGGCAGGCTTTCTCTTTGTACAGATATTTCCTACTCCTCCACTTCTTTTGGCTTCAGTTACCACTATCAACTCCTAAAGCTGTTTTCTTGTATGGCTCGATCTGTGCCTGACATTTCCAGTTATCTTCTACTAGTTTCATTAATTCAGGCATCCCCATCTTCGTACATTTTCTGTGGGTTGTGTTGTTAGTTACAGAAATAAAACATACATTAGTGAAGGTGAAGATGGAAATTCTGCTTTTCCTAATTGTACCTGAAAATACCAAAAGTAGAAGTGAAGATCTTTTTAGGTTTCCAGTATTGGTATTTGAATGCCATGTATATTCTATTTAAAGCAGTTACTTGAGCATTTCTTAGGCTTTGGGAATTTAATGCTTTCTCTGCTCTCTGGAATGTACATTTTGTCAAAGTAAGTTATATGAGTCACCAGTATGGTTTTCTCAGGAGGACAGAGAATTGGGAATTGGGGTTATTAGAATCCTGTCTGTTGTTAATAGCACAAGAGTGAGATTTACATGAAAAGTACAATAGTATAACATTGGTAGGCAAAATAAAAACCTAGGATGACCATTAGATCCATTCACTACCTTAGGTATTAAGGATGTGAAATTAATGATTCCTGCTTAGTTGATTGGCCATTACAGCTGTAGAAGCAGTCATCATGTTGTCACTTTTATTTATTTTATCCTCTCACACAATATTTTCTCTATGCCCAGGTAGCACTTACATTCTGCTTCTATTTTCTTCCTCCTTTTACAGGCAAAAATAGATCTTTTATTAGTTGGCGATGTCACTGTTTGCTGCCTGGCTGATGATATACAGAAATTCTTTCCAAATTCAGCAGAAGTTACCGTCACCATTAGTGATATGAAGAAGGCAGTTGCCCTTTTGGATGACTGCACATTTGACATGGTTTTCTTGAAGACAGCTCCATTCCTCACTGCTGAAGAGCTAGAAGCTGTCAAGTCAATTAGGTAAACTTTAAACCCTTGACTCTATGTCTTTAGCATAGTTTTTTCAAAATGCATTTCTATAAAAATCCTGAAAAGATAATCTATTCCTGCTTTGTTTTTTAAAAGGGAGCATATCTTCATGGGCAGAATTTGTATACATGTTTTTATTGCCAGTTTGACACACTATTATAAGAATTATTTTAACTTGTGAAATAATATATATGGGTGAGAATGCAAAAACTAATTAATTGGTTATAGAAATTTATTTGATATATAGTGCTTACATTACTCCTATAGGTACACTTTTTAAATAACTAAAATGAAAATGATGCATCTTTTCAGAGTTCATTAATTGTTACTGCAAGCAAGCCTCTCCGTTTTAGGCTGTGTTGGCTGTGGACTGAAGTTGTCTCTTGGAGACAGCTCACTGGATGCACTGAGATCAGAGATTACTACCTCCAGCATTCATTTTTCATCTTGCAGCCCCATGGAAGCTCTCCTACTTTCTAGTCTACTCCCGCTCTCAAAATCTGAAGTCCATTATTGGAAGAGTTAGGTTCTTTCCTGCCTGACGATGTAGGATTTTGAACCACTTAAGATGTCTTTAAATAGGGTTAGGTGGGAACAGTCTTGGTTTTTTTTTTTTCCTGATAAAGAAAATGGAACTATAGATAATATTGGAATGTTAACAAACTTGTCAGAATTATAGCACAGGCCTTTCTAATCTAAAACAGAAAGTTTAGATAACATAGTGATCCTTGAAGAGATCAAAGTGAGCAAGTTATATGTATTAGGGAAGAAAAGTGTTGGGGTGGGAACAAGCCCATTGAATAACTTATTAAGGAAAGACAGGTAGTACCCCTGTGGTTTTTAGAGCAGCTGGACTTCTGCATTTCTCTTTCTCTTGGCTTTCAATTAGAAATAGGATTTCTAGGCAAACCAAGCAAACTGCCTCAATAGTGGGTTTCACTGCCGAACATACTATGAACTATCTTCCTGAGTATGTGCCTGTGTTATTACATAGCTTTAATAACTCTGTAGATAGAGTTCTGGTTGCATTTACATAGTATTTTTATTTTTACAACAGATCTATGAGGTGTGTAGAATAGAGTTTCACTGCCTCTACTTTTGACAGATGAGAAAACTAAGGCCAAAATGATTTGCCTAAAACTGTAGGGCTCATTTTCACAAAACTCAGCGGTAACTTTTTGCTCTCCCTTCAGGTTTTTTCTAAAATTATACACATATTTGACTTTTGTATTAAAGGTATTTCCTTGAAACCTTTGAGATTCATCTTCTCCCCCATCCCTTCCAGTGCTGTGGATGGAACCCAGGGCCTAGTATATGCCAGGCAAGCACTCTACCACTTAGCTGCAAATCCATAGCTTAAGATTTCATAGCAGGCAAAAGAAGGTAGATGAAAGTACTAAATGTACGGATATGTATACGGTAGTTCTATTAATTTTCCCATAACAGTATTTGAAATGTAAAAAGTATCTGTGGAAATACTTGGACTTGTTTTTCTTGTCTCTTGTTGGTCTAGTCCCAATTCCTAATATAGGCCTTGATTAAAAGTCAGTTTTATGTATCTTTCTATAAGTATAATGAATGAATATATAGATGAGTAGGGGAAATGTGGCTGGGGGGTGGACAGTGAGTTTAGATTTTGTTTTCCTCTTTGAAACAGGGACATTTTCTTTTTGGAAGCTTTAGTTTTGTGATGCTGGCCTCAGAAGAACGTATGGCAATTCTCTTGCCTGCTCTCAAAACTGGTAGTAGTTTATGAATTATTTAAACTCTTATGGAGGGTTTTCAACATACTGTTTTTCTTGGAGTAATGAGTATTATATACATTATGCCTCATTGTAAGGTGTTTAAAACTTCATGTTTCCTAAAGCATAGCATCTTTTGACTTTTGGCTAACATTTAATTATTAAACCCAAATGGATTTTCTGATTTAGCTTTGCTTCTTCTGCTTTATAGATTTTTCCACTTAGTATTTGTTTTTGCTTTATAGTACCTGAAAGTATGGATTGGTCCAGGAAAATGTACAACTACAGTATTTCTCTTACTGTTCTCTCTGGACACATTATGTTCCCTTCCAGGAAAGGAAGAATTTATTCTAGAGTATAAGTGTTCATATTTATTTGCACCTGTAGAACACATGATCACAAACCCATGTTGTAAGGAATATGGATTTTTATTGAAAATAAGAATAAAGTTTAGCCTATTACCTATTAGAATAAAATGAAAGCAGCCTACATAAAAGATTCTTAAATTTATCCTTACAGAAGAGCTGTATTTGAAAATACAGTGCTAATCATTGATCTGCTTTAATCATTCATAAAAATATTGGTAATTTCCAGACACTTTCTTAAGAATTATGGCACATCTCAGCTATAGGTTAGCATTGCTAATAGTACTCCCTTGAATACTTGGCAGTAAACATACTAACAACAAAATATCTATCTATAGCTGTGCCACATAATGTTGAAGTCAGTAGTTATATACAGCATATAATTCTTGATAATAAATGACTATGTTACTGGTGTATGTTTACTTTATACTTTGTAATTAGTTTAGGAGGTATTCCTTCCACTTACAGAAAATTTACTGTAAAACAGTATGCTGTGTTAAATGGCAACAGTCTCACATCTCATGTTTACTATGTCTTTGTACCAAGAAGTCACATCAAGGGATTGACCTGTTCCAAGTGTAGACCATGATATTTGCACAATGATGAATCCACCTAACAATGCATTTCTTAGAATGTGTCCATCATTTAGCACATGGTTGTAGTTTTACTAAAATATTCATCTTATAAATTGCTGGTACACATGAACATGGAGCAAATTTCTAGATATTTATAATTTCTAATACCACGTGACTGGTAAACTTGACCTAAGAAGTTTATAAGAGGAGCTCTTCTGTCCAGTAGCACAGTGAGAACAGGGCATACTAACCTTTAGTAAGGACCAGCATAAACTGTCAAGAGTGTTACTATATTTCATCATAGGTGCACTAGTATTAGCAAATGAACTCACTGTTCTATGTTCACAGTAAAAGTATGGACTTTCTTACTCAAAATAGTTACTTTAATCAAGCAGTGAAAAAATCTATTTCTTGTGAGTCTCAAATAAACTAGGTGAGATTAATGTGGCTGCATTTGGTTCATGGAGAGCCCAATGCATAACTGTATTCAAGAAGGTTAGGGGGCTGGGGATTTAACTCAGCGGCACAGCGCCTGCCTGGCAAGCGCGAGGTTGTGAGTTCAATTCCCGGTACCAGAAAACAAAACAACAACAACAACAACAACAAAAAAGTTCAAGAAGGTTAGGACCCAAACACGACGCTGGCATTTGCCCCTTCATGTCCTTCTGGCTCTAAATGACGTGAGTGTTAAAAATTTCCCCTTATGGCTCAAAATGAAATGGGTTTAAGATTTTCCCTAGTTTGTGGAGACATGCAAGGCTTACATAGATCATGGCTTTCAGAGGTTAACGCTTTCCTGAACTCAGTTTAAAACATGTTTCTGAAGCATGATAAAAAATATGGTGAATATTTCACTTTAAAAGATATTACAGTAAAAGAGACATTGCCATTAATCTCCCTGAAAATACTTCCCTTCATTTTGAACAGATGTAGCCTATCATTTTACAACTTTCTGAAGCACTTCTGGAAATCCTTTTTCATGGATGTCTTTACTTGTGCTGTTGTGACTGCTTTGGTGCACTGAATTGATTTAAAAATTTATTTTACATTATATGATCATTTTGACTTTAGGGAAGACCCAAAAGTCTCATGGGAGCAGTGAATTAGGTGGATGAGGACACACTGTAATATCTTTAATGACCCTACCTTTCTGTTGGATGGCACTCAACAGTATCATTCACTGTTTGGATCACACCTCATAAAGACACTCACTGAAGAGAACTTCCAGAACTGCTTCAGAAAGTGGCAAGGACAATGAGCTAGGTGTGTTCGAAGTGTGGAGGAGTATTTTGAGAGGGATTAATGGTAATTACCTTTTATTATAATTATTGTGTGTGTGTGTGTATATATATACACACACACACACACACACACACATATATATATATATACATACACACACACACATATTTTTTTTGAAACAGAGTCTCACTATGTAGTTCAGGTTAGCCTTGAACTCAAACTGTAGCTCAGACTGACCTCTAGCTCATAGAGAGCCTCCTGACTCAGCCTCTCAAGGGCTGGGATTGCAGGTGTGTACCACTATGCCTGACCTATAATTTATATATATTTAAAAAAAAATTTTTTTTGTCTTTTTGAGACAGGGTTTTGCTATGCAGTTCAGGCTAGCCTTAAACTCAGTTTTTAGCCCAGGCTAGTCTTGACCTCATAGTGATCCTCCTGCCTCAGCTTCCTGAGTGCTGGGAATTACAGGCATGTCCCACTACACCTGGCCTTATTTTTAAAAATTTAAACATTCACCATATATTTTGGTCACAATTCGTATATGATCTTTTGGTTTTCTAACTAGTAAGATGTGGTGGTTAGGGTAGAATGTCTACTGACATGGCTTTGGGATCTGCCCAGGGAATTGGAAGAACATATTTGTTGGTGTGTTGGCTAGGTCAAAGAGGTATTGCCTTGGGGGGCTATATCTAATTCCTTGGCCCTTCTTTTCTAGTGCAGTCTCCTGTTCTACCCTGCAGCCACCATGAGTTGAGCAGCTTTGCTTTACCACACTTTTCTGCCATGATGTCCCTACTTAAAGGGAGTAGACCATTACCTAAATCATCTGAACCATGAGCTAAATTAAACCTCCCCTTATTTATGTTATGGGTATCAAGTACTTTGTCTCAGTGACCAGAAAGTGCCTGATACAGGAAGTTGATACCAGAGAAGTGGGTCCTTGTTGTGACCATATCTGATCATGTGGTTTAGAAGCCTTTGAAACTGGTTTGCAGGAGAAGTTCAAAAAGTTTTGGAGATGTGAGCTAGAGATGCTCTAGAATATTGTTGGATGAATGATTCTG